CCTGAGCCAGTGAGATTTGAACAGCCGAACTGCAGAACTGCAGTTAGCTGAAGTAGCCTGCAGTGCTGCATTTAACCACTGCGCCACCTCGGCTCTAGTCTTCTACCTACATTCAGAGAGTCCTAACGCTAGAATGGAAACAGGCAAACCTCCTGAGATGATCTTGGGCTGGCGGCCTAGGCTTCTTCCTGGGTCTTTGTCTTTTATGGGGATCTAAAGAAAAGAGGGGGTGGAAAGGGAAGGAGGGGGGGAGGCTGCAGCAAAGGCCAGCAGGGAAAATCCCAGGAGAAGGAGCCAGAAGAGTTTGCCTCCTGTCTCTTTAATTCTACCTCTCCAGTATTTCACCAATTGACTCGGAGTGATTTGCAGCCCCCCCAAAAAGCAAGTACAGGATTGCCACCTCACTGCTTGGGTCTTGCTCACCTTCGCTTCAGACAGGTTAAAACGGGGCGCCTTCTGCACAATAAAGGGGGCTGCCAATTTCTCCTTGGTCTCCAGCAGCGCCCTTGCTCTTTTGCTCTCCTGAGTCAACCCTTCCGCATTTTGTAGCAACAGATGCAGAGCAGGCAAGGGGTGTTTCCTTGTCCCGAGGAGGCTGTCATCCATGCTCCTTTGTTGGCCTACAGAACTACAGCAGAGTACAATCTCAGCTCCCCTCCTTCCCAAATGTCCCCAGGAAAACTGGGTTAACAGGAGCACAGAGGTGAGGCCGTTTTTTTCTCATTGGACTAAAAATGCACCTTTTTCTTAGAGATTGGAAAGGGCACGGTCCCCCTTCTGTCCCCTTAGGCCACTTCCTCAATTCCATTAGAATTCTTGTATTGTATTGTATAAGAGGATTGGCGCTTGGGTGCCCTGATTAAAATGTTTAATTTAAATCTTCAAAAGGGAAACCTTTTTTTTATACTCAGTTTTTTATACTATTCATATATGCTTTTTTCATATTCAGATAACTCTTATTCCATATTCAGATGACTCTTATTTTTAATACTATTTTTATTCAAGTAATACACTTTTTCCTTTAAACTGGTCATCAACATAATGGAAAGACTGTACCATGATTTCATGTGATAACAATTTAATTAGTCATTTAAAAATGAGATGTAATAATAATGTTTAATATAACAGTAACTAAGAAAGTGGCTGGTCCAAAGTCACCCAGATGGTTTTCATGCCTAAAGAGGGAGTAGAACTCACCATCTCCTGGTTTCACGCCAGTACCTGAATCACAACACCAAACCTTTTGCATTGGTATTAAATTTTTTTTAAAAAAAATAAAGGTTGCTTTTTAGAACTGACCTTGATTTATTGTTAGACTTTTGATTCCGCCTTAGATGACGAAAGTAAGGCTGACCCCCTGTAGGAATTTTATTTGACTTTTTTCTTTTCTGCAAAGAGAGATCATTCAAATAAGAAAGCAAAAAATAATAATATCCCACACACACCTGAATCCCATCCAGAGCTCTGCATGTGCCTCCCCCAATGCCCAAATGTGAGTGAGAAGCGCCTGGTAACAAGGAATCAACTGAGAGGGATGCCACAGAAGAGGCACCCTTTTTCAGCTCTGCCATGCGACTCAGTGTTTTCAAATCTCCTTTGTCAAGAGGCTTCTGGAAGGAGGACCTCTTCCCTATATCTCGGGAAGCCCCAATCTCTGCCTTTACCAGCAATCCCAAAAAGCTTCCAAGCTTCAGTTCAGACCAGGAAAGTCCTCACTGCTAGATTTCTCTCCTTCAAGCAAGGGGTAAAATAATGAGTGAGGACCAATCAATGAAGCAACCCAAAAGCACACAGATGCATACACACACACCCCCAGGTGCAACTCACAGTCCCTTGATGATCCTGGAGAGAGCAGAGACTTTCCAAAGCTAGGTCCTTCACACATATTTTTGGAGGGGTCGCCTTTCTAAAAAGGAAAAAAAAGGAAAAAAAAGGCCCACTTAATTTCTTATGCAGTGATTCAACACCAGTTTAAAAGAGAAGTATTGCAATACTGAACAAAAAGCAACCCCTCTTCCTCCTTAGAAAGAAGTAGGGGGCAAAGAGCAGCAGAAGAGTCCCTAGGCTGCCTTAATTAAAGCGCCCAGGGGAAGGTTGGGCTCTTCACTAGCAAGCACCTCCCTTTCCCTAGGGCTCCCCAAATACAAAATTACATTGCAAAATGTTTTGCAAGGTGAGAACAACAGAATGAATCAGATATGCAGAGGCCAAGACGAGCAAGCAGAGGGAGATCCTTCAGAGCAGAGACTTTGTTCTCATCCATCCCCAAATGCAAGGCGACCAAATTACATTTATGGCATCACTTACTCTCTCCCGCTAGGATTCCCAGACTGCAGGAATCTGGGTCGCATGTCTGGAACCCACCGGAAAACCGTGCTTCCACAGGGTGCCTGGGAACCCAGTCTTTGCACTACAAATTCGGAGAGGTCTGTCACCTGCATCTAATGCGAAAAGCAATGACTCTTTACTACTTGGCAAAAGAAGAGCTGAAGACCACCAGGAACAAATGCTGGATTGTTCACGGGTTAGCAGTTCTAAGTTCAGCTGTAGCTCCAGAAGGCATCCAGGATAGTCTGCCTCAGTTGCTCTCTGGGCTAACTGGCTAGTTGAGTGCCTCAAGAGACTGCTTATCAACAGTGAAAATGAGGTTTTACTACTCGTCTACTTTGTTTCATTAATGATTTAAAAGATTTCTGAGACCATAAGCTCTTCATTACACACAGCTATAAACTCACGAGGAAAATGTTTATTTACTACAAGTAGTCCTTGCTCAATTACAATAACTGGGACTGGCAACTCCACCTCTAAACAATGTAGTGGTACAGTACATCATCACATGGCTGTGCCAACCTAAAATGACAGTTGTACCAGTTCCAGCTGTTGTTATTAAGTGAATCCCACACAGTTGCAGAAGTCCCACTCAGCAATGCAAAAGGGCAAAATGTGCATCAAAACACAGTATTGCAGGCAAACTCTGCACACAGCCTGGAGTTTACTATCAACCCCCACCTCAATGAGGGGCCACAATTGAGAGTTTCCTCTAATTTCATTGTAGGACATAGAGCATTTAGCCACATTACTGAACACAGAATGCAAGAAATGTGAAGCAGTTGGGTGTTGAATATGGTCTGGGTGGAGGCCCAAGAAAGCACTTCTACATATTCCTCCCCCTGCTTCCCCCTCCCAAAAAAACCCCAATCCATTGAATTCGCTCACCTTTTCAGGTTGCCTCGAGGAGGTTAAACTTATTGGTGGGAAGTGGAGAGACTGAGATTCCATTCTGGAGTTCAGGCCTGGAAAATGATTCTTTTCTGAACTGAAATGCACACAGAGGGAGACACACAATTGAGGCCATGCAGAAGGCACAAAGGCTGCACAAGGATTCTGCCTTCCTTCTGCATAGTTGCAGACATGTGCAGAAACAGCCTGTCCTGTTCCATTGACTAGATGGGTACTGTGAAAAAAAACTCTTGTGTAGGCGGAGGGGGGGGTATTCTTACAGAACGCTGCTCTATGCCTATCATCCCACAAATACTTATAGAGGAAATCCACATTTGCTGACCTTAATACTGAAATGGGGGGTATCCAATCATTATTCAGAATAGATTTTGAAAAGCAATTTCTAGCTTCTTTGCTACTGGAAATTGTCTTGGAGTTGAATTCAAAACTTCCCAGACATTTAAACTGTTCTCTCCGAGGATAATGGAGGGGAAGGTCAACAATCTTCAGGGTTGGCAGTTTGCCTGAAACAAGGAGAAAGCAAAGAAGCTAACAACGTGCCTGCTTAAATTAAAACTTTTTGGAATGGTTTTTAGTCTGCACTAGCTACGAAACCTACTTCGTTACTATGACCATTTAAGAGAATAACAATAATCCCATAGCTCAACAAATTCCAAGCAGGTTGGTCACAGGATGAAGCATGTGTTGTAACACACTTTTGTACAAACTTTTGCTTTCTGTTAGGGTTATGTTCCCCAAAACCTCAAGTCGAACAAATTTGCCTAAAGTGAAATGCCAGACCTGTGGAATAAATGCCAGCCACATCACCCTCAGGTACATTTTTGCTTACTTCAGTGCCCCTTTTTATATAGCTCTTTCTTATTCCACGGCCAGGAATGGAAACAACTGCCTACCAGTCAGCTTTAGTGGCCTGGCATCTAATTTCTACAGAGCACTTCTTACCTTCAGAAGCTGGGGAATCTTTTCCAGGTCTGACTACGTTCTTCAGCAAAAGGTGAGGATGCCCACTTTCTATTCTCCGCATAGATTCCCAGCAAGGTGGATGCTGACAAGCGATCATATTGCAAATGGTTTCATCCCATTGAGCACCGATATTGACTATACCCATTGCTGTCAGCAACTTTCTGCAAGGTGGTGCAAGGAAGAACAAAACAAAGTGAAACAACTGTTCCAAATAGTGGATTGTGAGATCAGTGCTCAGAAATTCCCCCTTCCTTCTGAAAACCACCACAGTTGCTCTTTCCTTCTGCATACAATCCAGTGTTGATGGCGACTCCTCACAAAGTTCATTTTGGGCTTTGGGGATGCTCAAGGGGTATCTCTTTCTGCAAGGCAGCAAAAAGGGGGGATTATGATCGGGCCTCTTGGTGGGTGCCTTTTTAACCTATGGTATGAATTGCAGCACCGGAATACGAAGGGAGGAGGAAGCTTTGCAGACCCCGACCTAAATCATTGCACATGTTGCTTAAGAGCATGGCTGTGGATGTGAAACCCCTTCTTCCACTTTAGCTTCTTGGAAGGAGCGTCCTGAATAAATGACAATGATCACAATCATTATTGTTATGCCCGTGGTCCCAGTGGAGGACCAGTCGTGGTGAAAGCTTCAGACTACAAACCGGGAGGACAGGCTTATTCCTTCGCCTCGGGGGACAAAGTCAACCTGGGGATCTTGGACCAGTCACTCTTTCTCGGCCTCAGGAAGGCGCCAATGGCAACCAAGTCCGAGAAACTTGGCCAAGAAGCCCGCAGGGACGTGCCCGGCCACCTGCAAGATCGGGGCGCGACTGAAGAACGTAAAGAGCCCGAGGGGAAAACGCCTGGTCCGCTCCGAGGCTTCTCCTGGGCCAGGCCACGTCTGGACACCCTCCGAAACAGTCGCCTCTCCCGGCGTGAGGACTCGGCTAGCTCCCGGCCCGCCCTCCGCCCAAAGGCCCGGCTCGGGCTGGACAGGGGCCCCTTTCCGCCACGCCCGTCCGCCGCGAGCGGAGAAGCGGCGCTCCCCCATCCCACCTGCCTGAGGTAAACTGGGCGCCGTCGCCATGGCAACGAGAAGCGGTCCTCGTTTCCCAGGGTGCACTGCGGCCGGAAGTCGGGCACCGGATATTGGGCCGGGGGGGGGAGAGCGGAGCGCTTCGATGGCCCCGCAAATGGCGCCTCGGCCGCTCTGAGCCGCGGTGGGGGCGGCGCAAGCCAAGCCAGCCCCGCAAGTGGCTCCTCCCTCCCTCCCTCCGGAAGTCTTCCCTAGGGGGCGTGTCCGGTGGGGCGCGGTGCATGCTGGGCTGCGGGGCAACGGCCACTGGTCTGCCTCCGCGCGCCTTTCGAGCTCCGCGGCGGTGAGCGGCGGGCGGAGCAGCCTTTGGGGGCCCCGATCTCGCCCAGGCCGGAGCGGCTGCAAGGAGGCCGGGGGCGCTGCGGTGCCGAACGGGGCGGAGATTCGCCTTTCACCTGCAGGCGGGCGGGATGGCGGAGCGGCCGGAGGACCTGAACCTGCCCAACGCGGTCATCACGCGGATCATCAAGGAGGCGGTGAGCGGGCGGGAGGGTCGGCCTCCTTCCAGGCAGCGGGCTCTGGCTCTGCCCGGGGCGGTGGGTGGGATGGATGGCTGGGCCGCCGGAGCCTTTCAGCCGAGCCGCTTCCCGCCCCTCAGCTCCCCGACGGAGTCAACGTCTCGAAGGAAGCGCGGAGTGCTATCTCGCGGGCTGCCAGCGTCTTCGTCCTCTACGCCACCTCCTGGTGAGTCGCCGCCTTTCCTCCCCCCCTTTGGGGGCTCCCCTGGGCCGGATCCCTCCTGCCCCCCAACAGTGCTGGCTGTGCCGGGAGAGAAGGGCGTGTCCGTTTAAAGAGTGGAAGAGGGTCATAAAAAAGTAGATGTTTGACATAAACTGAGATCTGAAAGAGACAGTAGTAGAAAAGAAAGAGAGAAAAAGGAGGAGAGAAGGAAGAGTGGGGGAGAAGGAAGAGGTAAGGAGAGGAGGATGGAAGGGAGAGGAAGAGAAGAAGAAGGGGAAGGGAAGAAAGAAGGGAAAGGAGAGGAAGATGGAGGGGAAAGGAAGAGAAGGAGGAAGGGAAGGGAAGAAGGAAGAGAAAGGAGAGGAAGATGGAGGGGAGAGGAGAAGAAGGAGAGAGGGGAGGAAGGGAAGACGGAAGGGAAAGGAGAGGAGGAAGGAAGAAAGGAGAGAAGGGAGGGAGGGAGAAAAGAAAGGGAAAATGAGGTGTTACAACAGGAGGAAGGGATGGTAAATAAAGCAACCCAAACTATATATTACAACCTTTTAAACAATTAAATGATTACCTGTTAAATAAATGTATCAGAATGACAAATGTAAAGAAGAATAACAATTATGTGAACGTATATACTTAAAATTGTATGTGAGAGAACAAAAAAAAAATTAAAAAGGGTAGGTGTTGATCCTCTGTGTTTTGTGTGCAGAAATGGGTTGGTTTCAGCTGGGGCTGAGACCTTGGCAGCTGCCAAACCTAACTTCCCCTTCCATCTAGTTTTTACCGAAATGTAAAAGTGGGGGACTTTCAGCCGTGATGGGGGATGTTTACTTGCTTTTTACCTTTTCTTTAAAAAAATCAGCGCCAATAACTTTGCAAGGAAGGGGAAGAGGAAGACGCTGAATGCCGGAGACGTCATTTCTGCTATGGAAGAGATGGAATTCCAGCGATTTGTTGGGCCCCTCAAGGAATCCTTAGAAGGTGAGTGCAGCTGGTTTGGATCTGGACTTCCCCTTCGGCCCTCCCTCCCCTTCATTTCCTTCTTTTAAGACTTAAAACTCTGGTCAAAGTTTGCCAAAGGCACAGTTCTAAACACACTTGCCACTTTTTGTTTTTAAAAAAAATCTTTCAACCGAAACAAAATTAGTAACGATATCAATACACCAAAATATGACTTGGTATCAAACGCAAAGATTAAACTTTTCCTGCCACAATTCTCTTGCTCGAAAGTTTGCTGCCTCAAGCCGGCAGCTTCATTGCTGGAATACTGACTCCAGGGTTTTGAGATAAGCTGTTTTCCCTTAAGAAAATGATTGTTGTGAAATGGGTTGGAAATAAAGGACTCAGCACTGAATGCCACTTGCTCTTTAGTCTTTAAATTTCCCTCACAAGGGATCCACTCATAGTTCTTCAGAGGTATTCTTGAGCTCCGCAAAGCCACACTTCCACAGAAGCTGCAACAAGGCATCCTATTTTTGCCCCGTCCCCTAAGAACGGCTCTCATGCTGTGCTCTTCTTTGTGTCACTTTCATGCTGAACAGCGGGCACAGTACCCGTCAGTCTCCTGCTGTGGCATACGACAGTTCGTTTAACGCTATGTGTCTTGGTGTTGGTCTTCTAGCTTACAGGAATGAGCAGAAGGGCAAAAGGGGAGTGACGGACCTCAAGAAAAAGGACAGAGAGAAGAAGGAAGATGCTGAGGACCCTGACAAGAATCGGGAAGGGGATGAAAATGAGGAGGAGGGAGAGAGGATGGAGGAGGAGGAAGAGGAGGAGGAGGAAGCACAGCAGCCAAATGAGGAGGAGGAAGAGCAGCAGCCAAATGAAGAGGAAGAAGGGGAGAGCTGAGTTGTGGCGGGGGTGGTGGGGAAGTGAGGGGAGAAAGCCAATGGAAAGAAACACAACTCTCTCCTTTTGTGCTGAAAATGGCTCTGCGGGTTCTGGGGGCACCTCAGGGAAACTCCTTGCCTTCTCTCCCCAGTTGGAAAATATGACTGACGTGGCATCAGGGGCTTCTTTCTGGGCATGCGAACGCTGCTTGAAAGGGGCACCACTTATCTTTCCTTGTGCCGGGGATGCTCTGGTTTTGGCTTAAAAAGACTTTCTCCGCACCCTCGGTGTGTGTTTTTCTTCGGCGCTTCATTGAACAGGGTTTAATTAAAAGTTGTATTTGCAGAAAAAAGTTCCACTCTTTTTTAAATTCTTTTTAAACAAAACAACACATACAAAATAAAGCAA